TAGTGTAAATAAACTGTAAATAGGTATGTAAGTTAATTATTATGTAGATAGCTTCGATTTTTTAAATACGCCTGAAATATTTATACCTACAGTCCGTTGATAAATTGATTTGTTGGGAAAAGAACAATCGTGGTTAATAATTGAAAAGAAGTTTAAATAAAATAGGTATTTGCGACGGTCCTAAGCCCGTGTAAAGTATGAAGGACAAACTGAAGTCTATCTACATAAGTACTCGCTAGCTCGCGCCTATAGGTATACTTTTATCAGCTGCTGTTAGCGTCAGCGGTGCGCTGCGGCCGCCGAAACGCGCACGGACGTGTTTCATTCATATAAGATAATGATTGAATGATCAGTCCATTACTACTTTCCAAGTCGATCGAGTAAACATGAATATTAAAACTGAAACTTTTTTTTTTGCCAACATTACGATTGATTTAACCATTTTTATTGGTACTATAGATGATTCCAAATTGAAATGTTTCGTTTCCAAAACGCCTACAAAATCACCGTGTATATAATAGTTCTTTAGGAGATAGACTCCAATTTGTCCTTCATACTTTACACGGGCTTAGGATCGTCGGAAATACCTATTTTATTTAAACTTCTTTTCGATTATTAACCACGATTGTTCTTTTCACAACAAATCAATTTATCAACGGACTGTAGGTATAAATATTTCAAGCGTATTTAAAAAATCGGAGCTATCTACAGAATAATTAACTTACATACCTATTTACACTATTTACACTTCTCTGTATCGAAGCAACTGCTCAAAATGGAGTCCGCTGCATTCAATACACAAACGTCCACGTTTAATGGAATTGTTTTTTAATTTTCTTAATGTGTCTCTATCACTTTTCACTTTATCAAAAGCATCGTAAACAAGTATTTTTATTTCCGACCATAAGAAAAAATCCAGGGGCGTTAAGTCCGGGCTTCTAGGTGGCCAAGGCACTGGCCCTCCTCGACCTATCCACCGATCACTAAACTCATTGTCCAGGTATGCACGCACTACACTCCGGCGAATAATAATTTAAACGTCCTTGACTTTGCGCGTGAGTATAGTATTTCTATTCGTAGTATTTACTAGACTTGCAACGAATAGTATATTCGGCAGTATACCGAATACCGAATATTCGGCGAGGCCCCTGACCGAATAGCCGAATATTAGGCAAAAGTATTCGGCTGGATTTTAGCGCCAAAAACTTGTACAGACGTGAATTAAATTATGTACCTGTTTTATGCACCAATGACTACTTAATAAATGATTATAAAAGCAATGAGAACCTTACCCTTCTAAATTTTGATTACCACAATAATTCAAATACATAGAATCCTCCATTTTTCCTATTCAGAAGATGATTATGTACCTGTGTTATGCACCAATGACTACTTAAATGATTATAACAGAAATGAAAATATGAATATATACGTAATCAATCGATTTTAATTTTTCATTTTACCAATTATTTCTCAATGACAAAATATATTATTTAAGTATTCGGTATTCGGCCGAATAATATGTAGATATTCGGTATTCGGCCGAATATAATAAAAGTAGCCGAATAGGCCGAATACCGAATAGTAACCGAATATTCGTTGCAAGTCTAGTATTTACCTACTTGCGATTGAAAAGCCCTACTACTGGTTCTCACCTTTTCTCTGTAATCGATATGAATATCGACTTTGATGATAAAAAAAAATATATTTTATTAAATTAACGTTATATATAGCTTCTGTTACTGATAAATAACTCAAAATTTTCTTTTCCAAAACGCTTTCAAAATCACCGTGTATAATTATACTTAGTATCTACTACGCATGTATAGTTACGTAGCACTTGTATTTGTTGTTATAGTACAGAATGTTGTATGGGAACAAAATAAATAAAACAAGAAACATGTATGACAAACTATTTATTGTCTTTTTTTTTAATATTGGAAACATTGATTTTGAATCACATCTTCTGTGAAAATTATTTCATCATCATCATCATCATCAACAGCCTATACTAGTCCACTGCTGGACATAGGCCTCTCCTTAGAAAGGAAGTTTCTAAAAATCGAAAAATGGGTCAAAGTTAATACTTTCAAAACTTTTAAGAAATTATTATTTAAAAATTATGATTTAAAAAATTAAATGATTTGACCTACTAATCATATTCAATCAATAAAAAAAAACAATGTTTAGTCGTGCAAGATTGAAGAATTGTGCCAAGGTGTAAAATTATAATAATACCAGTATGAAAAAAAATATTTTTTTTTATTTTAAGATCCAATATGTGTTAAATAAATTTAATTTATAACGTTACTTAAAGAATTAAAAATTAATATAAATATAAATTATATAATAAATTAATGTAATAAAATGAAATTTATATAAGCGCCATCTAGTAACTAGTTATTACTACACTTATCGTTGAATTTCATAAAATGTTCTAAGCATAATGACCGTGGTTTTATCCGTATATGAAGCTAATACTAAAACCTACAGTCGTCACAAAATGAGAAGCCCGTTTTGACATTTGTCATGGTGATGTAACTAGTGATTAACCTTACGACGCGGTGCACGATACTTACGATAAATCGATTCAAGCTTGTAGAGTATTTGATTGATTTGACTATATATCACAAAGTGCATTGGATTTAAGTTATAATTAGAACATATGACTTAAACTTTAATGTTATAAGCAATTTGAAATGATACAATGGAAAGAAATGACAATTTGTCTTTAATTTAAAAATTTAGCTCAGTCACAACAAAATCAAGAAAAGTAAAATCAATCATTTTCTTCTGATGACGAGCCTGATGAGCTATCGTCGCCTGTATATACAATTATTTCATTTTCTATAATATTATCAATATTGGCGTCTCTATCATAATCTTCCTTTATTATTTTTCGCGTCTTTTCTACCACTTTTGCCCAATCTTCTTTGGTTATTTTATCACAAGCTTCTTTTAACAATGTCATCATATTCTTAGTGGAGAATGGTGGCTTTGTATTATGACGTGCTGCGTATCCTTTGACCTGAGCCCAGATTAATTCAATAGCATTGTACTGACAATGGTACGGCGGCGTTCTTATCAATTTGTGACCATATTGAAGTGCCAATTCATCGATTTTATATCTTAATTTTGCAGGTTTATTTAGTTTTACTAATTCCAGCAGTTTAGCTTTCAATAAATTCATGTCAGCTTCTACGCTTTTTCTTTGTAACCACGCCACTAAATCTGCCTTTTTGCTTGCTTGAGTAGGTGCCTTATCTATTTGAACTGAATGGTAAGGTACATTATCCATAATTATTGTGCACTGTTCGGGGAGGTTTATTAACAACTTAGTAAACCACTCTAAGAATTTATTTGCATCCATTTCTTCGTGGTATTCTTTTATACTTCTGGACTCGAATGCGAGTAGAGCATCATGCACAAAACCTCCCCCGGCTGATCCGGCATGGCAGATTATTAGGCGTCCACCCTTACCCATTGGCACTATTGAACAAGATGCCTTGGTATCATCCGTCCATGACCGTGGCACGGTATGATTCGAGTTCAGCCAAGTTTCATCGATAATTACGACATTATCGATAAGAATGATACTCTGTGCAAAATTATATCATATCGTTCCATCATAACTTTCCTCTTGTCGGTTTTCTTGTATTTGAAACCAATTTGCTTCATAATTGTTATTAAAGATGTTGCACTGCCAGTAAACAGGCCAGCCTCACTTAGTGATACCACCAACTTACTTACAGTTGGGTACTCACTTCTCGTGTAATAAGCATATACGTGGTTTCAAATAGTATCTGCGTCAAATGTGTCAATACCTGTTACAGGCTTGCTTTTCTTCCTCTTCTTAGGAGTATGTAACACATTTTCTTCAGTACCGGAAGACCCATACTTTGCCTTCAAAATGGTTCGAATAGTTTTTTGCCGATTCCAAGTGCTTCTGCTACGCGATCTTGCACTTGAGTTCCGGGTAATAATGGTCCACCATTAACTGATTCGCGTTCGAAGTATTCGGTTAACTTTACAACCTATTCGCGTGATTGGCTGTTTATTGTACGTCCTCTTTTCGACATGTTGAAACAGAGTTTGTACAATATAACAACAAACACCAAAATCTGGTCCAAATCGCTTTGTCTAATCAATGTCCGGAATAGAAGAGCCAAGGTCAACGTGATAGAAAATAAAAACAGTCCAAAAGCAAAGCCGAGTCTAGAAAAAATATCAAACATAAACGAGCGCACAGTCAACATCACAAGATGTCGAACGAAAGACTGCGCAGTACGCGGTACGCGCATGAATCACGTGCCGCTTGGTCATAGACAAACCATTCTATAGGTACATAGAGAAAGGAAACAAATGTACGGCTTTGATAATTCTTTTATAGACTGACTTTTAAGGACTGTTGTCAAATGTGACTGTTGCAAAATGAGACATGACTTTTGAGACAGAAAAATGAGGATGAATTATTTTTTTCAATATCATGATGAAATGATTTCATTTAGTATAATATCAAAATATTCATATTAAATATCAAAATAAAGCTAAAACTATATGTGATCAGATTTTGTTTTTATATGTTTAAATATTAAATAATATACTAATTACACATTTATCTCTTTTTTAAATGTAATTTTTGTAAACGATTTTCAAAAACTCTATTTTATTCGGCCATAAAACGGCTTTTTAACGGTTACAACACTACGGCAACTAACCCAAAGACATGACATTGTAGTAAAGTCCTGTCGGAATATTAATCAACGATTAATTCGAGTTTTGAGTGCATTTCAATATAAAACTAAACTTGATGCTTATTTATGATACGCGTTGTGATAGTGTATGGGTAACATACACTTTAAAAAGGATTATGAATTTGATTTTTCAATTTCTTACATAGACGTTCATACAAAGTTATCGCGGCATGTCAAATGAGAAACGTCAAAACGGGCTTCTTATTTTGTGACGACTTTACCTGCTCACAAAACAATAAATTTAAAATGGAATCACGTCAACTAAATTTGGTAATTATAAGGTTTGTAATAGTATCGTTATGCATATTTTACTCGAAGTAAAGTGTTCTTTCTTTGTGAATAGGCTCATCAACAGCATCGTCGGGCTGAAGTTCACCTCCAGAACAACAGGTACGATGAGGCGATGCAATGTCATCACAACGCCGCAGAGTTACTATTAGACGCAATGAAATCAACCACATCTTCTGTCGCTCTAGAATCTATCACACTGCAACACAGTTATCATCTCAAGCAAAAAGATTTTATAAAAATTAAGAAGGGACAATATGAACGAGTGACTAAAGCAATGGACCATTTGAAATTACTAGGCAAGGATCCTAAACATAATCTTCAAGTGAATGATAGTGAATATGTTCAAGCAACTATATATAAAACAATTAATGAAGCAGATTCTTTGTTGTCAAATTTACGGAATACTCGTAAAAACATTGACCAAGATCCAGTTGAGTCCAACCCAGTGGAGTCAAACCTAGTTGAGTCAAACCCAATTGAGTCAAACGAGTCTGTTAAAAAGGTGGAAGTGGATGGCAAGAAGACTGAAAAAAGCCGAGAGACTGTTGTAGAAGAATTGCAAATATTAAATAACAACTTACGTTCTCTTGTTGAACGTCTAGTATTTCAAGTCGAAGTATTTAAGGATGAGAACATGACATTAAAAGAAAGAGTTATCTACTTAGAAAAGGAGAGAACAAAGTATTTAATTTTTAATATTCCATCATCACATGATGATGGTTTACAAAGTAATTTTTTGAATACAAATATACAAGGAGATGAAGTATCAAAAGAATTAACCCAGAAAGTGCCAATTACAAAAGAACCTCAGCAAGGTAGGCCACTTAATACAGGGGATAGGATTGGTCAACCTCATTTTGATTTAAGTGCATTGAAGACCAGTAGTAATTCAGTATGAATTACAGCAATATGGTTTAAAATTATTTGCTTCATAACTTGCTTTCACAACAAAATCAAACATCCAATTTGTTATGGTTTAGAAAGAGTACTTTTTTAAATACCAGCATATTGCAGATTGTAAGATTTAATGCAAGGTTTACTGTTCTGAAGTTATGGAGAGGTAAAGTTCCACTATTAACATAGTATTTTTAACTTTAACCCCAAGAACTACTAGTGTCATGAAAGTTCTAAATTACATTCTTTTTATCTAACAAACCAAATCTTAATTCTTATTAGAATAAGCAATTTAAGAATAAGCATTAATAATTCTTAAAATTTAAATTAAATTTTACAGCACTTTACAACAACAAGTTTTTATGTAACAGTTTGGTATTCACACTTAAACTCAAAAATGGTCCTTTATGTGTGTAGGTGAGGTTGGCTAGGTGAGCCGAATAAGCTCCTTCCAGAAGAAGCCCTTAGGAGTGTTCATAGGCTTCTAGGAGAGATCTTGTATCAGAAATGATATTAGTTTGTTGTGTAGCTACTCCCTAGCACTCCAGGATTGAGACATCCTGTAGGTTTGGAACCTAAGGTAGGTAACTCCCAAACTATGGTCTTGGTGTTCACAACCAGCAAGCTTTGTAAATTGGCTGTTGACATCTGACTATGTTGGAGGTTGGTTTGGTAGGCTTTGAGATTCTTAAAGTCTGGAAAAGCTAAAGCTGTCACAATTTCAGTATTAATATTAAGTTTTTTATCTATTCAATTTTTATATCTTTCTTACTGTGTTAAAATAGATTCATGTCAAGATATAATCTTGATTGTTAAATTTATTTTATTTGACCTATAATTGCAAAACAATAAGTGTCACTTTATAGCTGTTACACGGTTTTTAAATCATCTGGAAGTAATAACACCCAAAGTTAAGAAGGGGGTTAACAAACGAAGTGTGACAAAGAGCGGGAGGGATAACCTTTGTAATCATTGTGAAGTAAAACTCAGTTTTTTATTTAAGCTTAAGAAAATATTCAATCTTGTAATATATTGAATGAGCATGTTCCCAATAATAAAATTGTAAGGGCTGTGAGTGAAGGGTTTCCAAAATTGAATACCTGGCGGGGGGACAGGCCGGGCAAGTCCCTTATGGTCTATTACAACAAAAAATTTTGTTACATTTTAAGGGGTGAAAGCCTTATATTCCTATAAAGCCAGTCATGAATAACAATGTTAAGCATATGCTGAAATGCTGGTTTTTACCATTAAGGCAGCTATTAGTTTATAAACACATACTTTACCTACATCTCTAAACAACAGACCGTTGTTAAGTCTAAATGCGGAAACCGGAACCCACAACTAATTCCTAATATGTACCAAAAAGAGTGTGCGTTACCCCAGCAAAATAATGTCGACAATGGTCATATATTTTATGATATATATATACGAATATTTTGATGCATTCAAGTCTAAGCTCTATACACCTCAAAATAAAATACAATTAGGTACTTTAGTGTTATTTCTTTACAAAAAAAATCAAAGAAATAAAACGATGTCTTATTGGTTTAAATTTTTGATTTATTGGAGTCAGGTGAATCGTTCATACATATATCTACATATTTATAATTTTAGCGGGCCAGTGCAGATTTTCTGTTGATTGTAGCTTCGGTAGTTAAAAAAAATAAAGAAATTTTAAGTAAAGAAACTAGTGCTTAAGATCAATTAGGAAAAAAAAACAAAATAAATAATAGGTAATAATAATGAATAAATATTGAATGTATTTAACACTGTACGCAACTGTACCGAAATCGTAAGGTGTATTACACTAAACATTTTAAAAGCCAGCACAATGTACTGGGTGATCGCTTTTTTGTAACCACCTAAACATGGTCGGGTTACCACGATCTTGCACCTTCTAATGACTTTTATTTAAGTATCTCGTAAATTATTATATGTACTACGCTGAAATTTTACAGGTAGACAACTGAACTAAACAATTAATTATTGGCAAAACATTCAGTTTATATATCCACACACAGGTTTATCGGTGGCCAAAAAAGGCCGCACACATTGTGATCGTGAACGTGGAGAGCCACATTTCATAACCTTTTAGTCACTTACAGTATTCTTAGGAAAAATCGTATACATTTGAAGGTAGTTACAAGCAATAGAATAACGTTTGAAGTAAGTCTTTAGATTCATTCAGATCATTATTTTTGTTATTTTATTGTCGAACAAATTAAAACTAATCCTTAAGAAGTTATGTACAAAAGATGGTTACAATCCGCTTACCCGTTTCAGAGATCCAGCAAACCCACAAACGTTACTCCAGCAGGATCTCGAATAACTTCGCAGCCGAAGAAAATACAAATACCAAATAAGTTGTAACATTTACCTAGTCCAGATAACTAATTATTTAGCTAACATTTATTTCAATATTACAATTAAAAAAGAAAATGTCTGGCTGCGGTAACGTTTCAAACGTTACCCCAGCAGGAAATGTTTTTTTGAAATAACTAAAAAGTTTAAGTGAAACAAATTTAAAAATGTGCCTAACAATCACAGAAGGGGAGCAACTAATTATCTATAACGTTTAAATGACCATTTTCGACATTATTTTGCTGGGGTAACGCACACCCAAAAAGATATAAATCTTAGACAAGTAATCGCCTATTCTGTTTTGTGTCAGATAACGAACATGGATGTAGGAGTGACTACTTTGATTTTATTTATATTTTAAGTGCACCAAGTAATTCATGTGATATTATAATAATTTGAAGTATGAATTTTAGCAGTTCTACGAGGATTTTGGCTGAATCTATTAAAAAAAAATGTATGTCTAGGACAGCTCTTGGACTTCTTGATATTGTGTCACTGACTCTGGCAGTCTGGCAGTCAGACTCTGACATAAAAATTTGTTGTCAAATATCAGAATTTGGAAGAAATCAGATCTTCGCTAGGCGCCCTAGTTTTTGACAGTCAAGAGTGGCCCTGCTGGGGAGACTGACTCCAGCAGGGCTCAATATAAAGGCTTATAGCTTTTGAACCAGTGACCGACAAATTCTAATATTTGGCGACAAATTAGCGACTAAATCTTTGTTATCAAAATTAAAATTCATGAATGTAGCCCTGCCAGGGTCAGTGACACCTTAATGTTCTATGATGAACTACGAGGGCGGGTCAATAAGTCCGTGACTTTTGGAATAAAACACAGATTTTTTGATAAATAAATCATTTTATTTTTCAACGTAGTCTCCCTTGAGCTCTATACACTTTGTCCAACGCTTCTCCAATTTTTTTATCCCTTCCAAAAAAAGGTCCTCAAAATAGGCCTTTGTTTGCGAGATGACTTCATTGGAGTCAAATCTTTTTCCACCAAGCCATTTCTTCAGGTTTGGGAACAAGAAGTAGTCACTCGGAGCCAAATCTGGAGAATAGGGCGGATGAGGGAGCAATTCATAGCCCAATTCATGGATTTTTGCCATGGCAACTGCACATGTGTGCACCCTTGCATTGTCTTGGTGGAAAAGAACTTTTTTCTTGGCCAAATGAGGTCGGTTTTTTTTCAAATCGTCATTGAATCGGTCCAATAAGTTGGCATAATATTCCCCATTGATTGTTCCTCCCTTTTGAAGGTAGTCAATGTGGATTATCCCGCGTGCATCCCAAAAGACAGTCGCCATAAATTTATTGGCTGACAAACCCACCTTGGCCTTCTTTGGCGCCGATTCACCCTTAGAAACCCACTGTTTTGACTGTTGTTTGGTCTCTGGTGTGTTGTGATGGATCCATGTTTCGTCCACGGTTACAAAATGGCGCAAAAACTCCTCCATACTGCGATTAAACAACGCCAAACCTTCCTGTGAAGTTGTTACACGATTGCGTTTGTGGTCGACTGTGAGCAATCGCGGCACCCATCTTGCGGAAAGCTTTCTCATGCCCAAGTGATCATTCAAAATTGAAACCACTGAGCCATGCGAGATCCCTACGGCTTCCACAATCTCTTGCACTTTCAATCTTCAATCTTCGGTCGGCCAACACCATATCGTGAATTTTTTCGATTGTTTCGGGTGAAGAGACCTCAACTGGGCGTCCAAGACGTTCGGCATCTTCAGTGCTTGTACGGCCACAACGAAATTCAGTAAACCACTTTTTTAACCATTGAAATCGATGGTGCAGAGTCCCCATAGTATTTATCAAGCTTAGCCTTGGTCTCGGTAATGGTTTTTTTTTCGCAAAAAAATAATGCTTAAGCACACGAAATTCACTTCTTTCCATTTTTCCTCAAATTACTGGGTAGTCTGATAAAGATAACTGTCAAACACTAACTAACTGACGCAGCAAGTTCAAATTTTGACAGGAGTCAACTGACAGATGCCTGTTGACAGGAGTAGTGTTGCTTTTTCAGTAAAGAGGTCAGAAATTCAAAAAGTCACGGACTTATTGACCCGCCCTCGTACTTTAACGTTCGATATTAAAGTATTGTGTGTGATTTGTTAAGTAAAAGAGATTTTCATTTATAGATATGTATTGCATATTGGTCTTACACAAAAATAAAATCTTACTCTTGTTTTAAATGTAAAAATAAACTTCCCAGTTGACACTAGGAATAACTATTCTTACCCCTATAAGGACTCTATACATTAACAAACAATAAAACTAATAACATGCTTATATTTTTGGTAACATGGACATTATACAAAGGTTCTACCAGTACTATTCATCATTACAGTTCATACATTTTAAATTTAGGTACATTTTGTCTAGTTGCTTGTGATAGCATGATCACATAACGTATCCACTAGAATCTAGAAGCTCATTTTATTGTTTCTTTTGAATGAAACAGATGTCTCAACACATGAGTAATATTATTATAGTATTTAAATATAATTATCGTTGATGCACTTACTATACCCAACTGTTTAGCTAATTCAAAGTTTTGTTAGCAAAACATAATGCAAAAATATTAGTATATTTATCAACTAGTTTAACAATATTTCAATTTATTATCTTAACGGCATCATTGCTAGTAAATATTAAAGGCATTTAGTTATAGATTTCTAGGATTTCATATTTGGAATAGTTGTTATAGTTAATTAGATACGAGACACGTAAATGGAGTACAGATAACATAGATTTACTAAAATGGAAGTTTTAAATGAGGCAAAGGCAATAAGGGAGAAATTAGGATAAAAGTTTATGATAAAAACACGTGTGATGCCAAACACGAAAACTGATTTAAAGTGCATTAGAAATATACATTTCACGAAATATCTACCTTTGGAAATAATTCTTAACAAACAGATGAGTGTTTCTTAAATACCAATAATTTTCCAAATCATGTTTATCTTACCTTAATTAGTGTAAGTGGAAGTACAATAAAGGTATAAAAATATTAAAAATGACGGACTGCTTTTACTTAGGCTCACTAATCAAAGTAGACATAAATTAGAGCAAGTGTCAAGTAGGTAGATAAATTACTCATTTCTTCCAATTATAAACAGTGAATACTGCTCTGAACTAAATACTGTTAGTATTATGTGTCAATAATTGAACTTAACAAAATGTAAATTATCCACGTAGTGAGGACATATTTACTGAGATATCTTAATGAAGATAAAAAAATTAATGTACCATTAAATATTTAAATGGAATATTGAGTTAGTAGTCTTACTATAAAATGATATTATCTAATTAAACTATAAATTAACCGCATTTAAATGTATTAAATCTTAAAGCATCTTGAGAAACACGACATGAATAGGCACTAAAATGGCAAATCACAAGTAGAAGTGAACAGTAGTCATTCATTAATTCACAACCACAATATATACACAAACCAAACGATACAATTTTAGGCATTTTAGTTAGGTTTAGTAAAATTTTCATAGATATTATTAATAAATCCATCACATTTAGATTAAACTTATTGTAATTAAAAGTAACATTCTAATTTTTTATAAACACATGTAAGGAAGTAAATCTTACAGGAGTTAACCATTATTTATTCGATTTGACTTCAGAACAAAGTCAATTTGAGATTCAGACAATCATTGTCACAGTGTTTCCACAATACTTATAAACCTTAAACTAATCTTTCATTGGACTCAAAGATCTGTAATAGTTAAAATAATAAATACTGTAGATTAAAACTAATATACAAAAATATTTGGGTGATTCGAGAATAATTGAAGATGTGATTAGTTTAGTCACTTAGGGCGAATATGGAGGCGGTGGAAGTACGGAAAGATCGTCAAATGGGAAGTATTGCTGCGAGCCGAGAACCGGCGGCGCGTACGGAGGGTTTATCGTAGGCACGTAATCGGCACTAGGGGTATATGGAGGTAGGGTTGGCACAGCTGGTGTTGGCCCTACGCTGTGTGCTTCATAACCATCCCAGTCTTCCATCAAGTTTCTTCTTTGAATATCTTCGTCGCTAGATAGCGGAGCTCCCCACAGGTTAGCTGCAGACGCTAGCAAAGCGAGAGCGCCTGGAAAATGTAGAAATACCATGCTACATGAATTTGTAATTTAAATAGTTGTAGGTTACGGATTAAGAATAAGAAGTGTCACCACCCCTATTCATCCCGTGGGTGTCGTAAGAGCCGACTAAGGGAGCAAACTCAGCAGGATAACAGCTCTCCAAAGAGAAGGAAAACTTGAATCTAACCTTATACCAACTCTTCTGGCCGTCGTGGTATAGAAGGTGTTATGTATATATATCTATGTGTCTATAGTGTCTGCGCACACTATTGTTTATGCGAATAAACGGCAGTACGCACTCAACCTGCACGCGTTTCACTTGTTCCCACATACGTAACAGTGGCGACGAGTATTTACCCACTTTTATTTTTTCAAAAAAATAAAATAAGTTCCTAGTAAAAACCGAAAATCATGTCGCAGGGTTTTTTCGGGTTATTATCGAGTTTCGATCACAATTTGCAATCGTGGCGCGAGTACAAGGGACGATTGGCGCAGTGGTTCATCGCGAACGATGTCTCTGCGACCTCAGATCCCGCGGGCGTCAAGCGACGGGCGATTTTGTTAAGTGCACTCAGCGAACCGACATACAAGCTAGTAGCGGATTTGGCGTTGCCCAAAGATCTCCAAGTAGTGCCTTACGAAGATATATTAAAACTTTTAGATAATCATCTTATACCCCAAGTATGTGGCTTCAGCGAGAGGTACAAGTTTTATTCCGCAGTACAATCGGACGAAGAAACTTACCCTCAATGGGCGGCAAGACTACGCGGTTTGACCGCGAATTGTGGATTTTTAAACGTGGAGGAAGCATTACGGGACCGTTTTGTGATGGGAATGCTGCCGGGCGCGGAGCGGGAGAGAAATTATGTGGGAAACGAGAGGGTGGATGATAACGGCGATGATGACGGTGAGTTTTATAACATTCGTTCAATTCACGGTGAGCCTATGTGGGACGTTGTATACGTCCGGGGAGTGCGATTAAAGTTTCAGGTCGACACCGGGTCAGCTGTCACTGCTATTTCCGAAAAAACTTATTTAAGATTATTTAGTGAGGTGTCGTTGCTCAAAACAAATAGACGGCTTCTTTCTTATACTGGCTATAATATTGAATGTATAGGAGTTGCACGGTTGCCGTTCACATATTCGAACAAAACGCATACGCTAGATGTGTATGTAATACGAAACGGCGGTCCACCACTTTTGGGTAGGGATTTCATATCTTTATATGAATTGGAAATTCTGCCAGTGAATTATTGTTTACAGTCCTCAAACATAACTGAACAGTTACAAATGCAATATGCTAGTGTATTTTCCGATAAACTAGGTACATTCAATAAGTATAAAATTAAATTAAATTTAAAAAGTGACGCTAAGCCTATATTTTTTAAACCGCGACCAATAGCTTTCGCACTGAGAGACAAAGTCGATAAGGAGTTAGATCGCTTAGTGTGTGCAGGAATTTTAAAACCGGTTGATTATTCCGAGTATGCGTCACCTATAGTGCCAGTCTTGAAACGCGACGGATCGATTCGGTTGTGTGTGGACTACTCGGTTACGATAAATAAACAACTGTTGATAGATCAGTATCCTTTACCTACCGCGCACGAGTTGTTTACTAAATTACACGGCGGTCAACAATTTAGCAAAATAGACTTATCACAGGCTTATTCGCAGTGTGTTTTAGATGAAGAATCGCAAAAAATAACATGTATTAACACACACAAAGGTTTATTTAAATACACTCGTTTAGTGTTTGGATTAGCCAGTGCCCCAGCTATATTTCAACAGGTGATGGAATGCGTTTTGTCTGGCATGGATGGAGTGTTATGTATGCTTGATGATATTTTGGTGACAGGGGTCAGCAGAGAGCTACATTTACAAAGATTGCATGAAGTACTACAGCGTTTGCAGAACGCTGGTCTCACGGTACAAAAATCAAAGTGTCATTTCTTCGTAGATACGGTGGAATACTTAGGATACGTAGTAGATAAGCACGGGTTGAAAAAGTCACCCCAGAAAGTGTCAGCTATTTTAAATGCCCCGGTTCCTAAAAATGTTGGTAAATTACAGTCCTTTCTTGGTCTTGTTAATTATTACCGTAACTTTGTGCCTAACGCGTCTTCAGTCTTGAGTCCTTTGTATAGTTTACTACAAAAAAATATTAAATGGCATTGGGATTCCATCCATGACAATGCATTCGATACTATTAAAAAGTTATTGGTTTCCGATCAGGTGTTAGCTCACTTTAATATCGACGCTAAAATAATTTTGACAGTGGATGCGTCACCAAGCGGTCTAGGCGCGGTGTTATCACAGGTAGACCCCGCCGACGGGTTGGAGCGTCCGATCTCGTTCGCATCGCGTACGTTGAATGCAGCTGAGCGTCGATACTCACAAATCCAAAAGGAGGCGACGGCAATAATATTTGGGGTGAGGCGTTTCCACCAATATCTTTACGGCAGGTCTATTCCGTTTTTACTTCGAACAGATCATAAGCCATTAATCACTATTTTTGGCCCTCACCGAGGCATACCTGAAGTGTCCGCAAACAGATTACAACGTTATGCGATGTTTCTAAGCGGTTATAACTTTCGTATAGAATACGTTCGTAGTGCGGATAACTGCGCAGACTACTTGTCGCGCGCGAGCTTATGTGACGATAGGTGTGGCTACGAAAAAAGCGCTGAGGCTGCCGAGTTTACTGAAGATAGGGCGTCTTATGTAAATTTTGTGGTAGATTATAGTTTGCCCGTGACTCTTAGTTCACTACGCGAAGAAGTTAGAAAAGACAATAAGTTGTTAAGGGTTGTTAAATTCATACAAAGTGGTTGGCCAAGAAAAGTCACAGACAAAAACTTATTGCCATATTTTTTGTGTAGAACTCAACTGTCGGTAGAAAACGGTATAGTTATGAGGGGGCATAAAGTGGTTATACCCGCGTCTTTACAAAACAAAGTGTTGTCTGAACTTCATAAGTCTCATTTAGGCATTGTCAAGTGTAAGGCCAATGCTCGAGGTAAGGTTTGGTTTCCAGGAATCGATAAAGCTATCGAAGCGATGATTGGAGCTTGTAAAATATGTACACAGCTCCGGTCATCACCAGCTAAGGCACCGCTCGCTCCGTGGCCACACCCTCATCGACCGTTTTTTAGGGTACATGTGGATTTCCTTGGCCCGATAAATAATCAGTTGTATTTGGTTATCGTAGATGCTCATTCCAAGTGGGTTGAAGTGTATAACGTAAATAACACTAGTTCATTGGTAGTTATCACAAAATTATATGAATTTATGTCTCGGTTCGGTCTTGTTCACACTTTGGTTAGTGACAATGCTACATGTTTCTTATCGGCGGAATTTATTAAATTTTGTACAGTAAATGGAATATTGCATGTAACTTCGCCCGCTTATCACCCCGCTAGCAATGGGCAGGCGGAAAGTTATGTTAAGGTGGTTAAGAAGGGCATTAAGTCTAGTTTAATGATGAGTAATGACACCAAACAAAGTAATTTTAATTTGTTAAAATATTTATTTGATTATCGCAATTCGATTCATACCACGACTGGCCTTTCACCTGCTCAATTAGTGTTTGGCCGGGAGCTTCGTTCGCGTTTAGATTTATTAAATCCACTGACTACAACGTCGCCGCCATTATCATCTAACGCCCTCTCTGAAGTTGTAAAACGAAATCAGTGTTCACAGAGTAAACGGTACGCGGGCACCAACAAACAATGTTTTATGTCCGGGGACCAAATTATGTTCAAAAAATATTGTACGAATAACAAATTTACATGGAACAAGGGAGTAGTGTTAAAACGTACTGGTAGAACAACCTACATGATTAAAGATCTAACAAATTTATTATGCTTAAAAAAGCACAAAAACCAACTTATACCCTATCGAGGAACGGACTGTGGCAGTAACGCATACTATGATAGCCCTGTCGAAATGTCAGACTTAAGCTCACAAGCCGTAGCACCGGGTTCTGCTGAAAGAGGAGCCTCGCTTCCCGAATCGCAGGCTCAGTCTGACCACACAGAGGATGACAGCGCTCAGGGTACATCACCCACTACGATTTCAGAGTCCGCGGAGGTCACACAGAGAGCAGTTGGAAGCGTTCAAGCTACTACCTCATCAGATGAACGTCGGTCGAGTAACACGATGTCTTTACGGCCGGTGCCAAGAATTAATTATAAGCCTTTTTTTAATATAAAATAATGGTAAACACTAAAAGGGGGAGAAATGTTATGTATATATATCTATGTGTCTATAGTGTCTGCGCACACTATTGTTTATGCGAATAAACGGCAGTACGCACTCAACCTGCACGCGTTTCACTTGTTCCCACATACGTAACAGAAGGCCAAAACCTTTCTAAGCAGTGGACTGTTAAGGGTTGTTGATGATGATGCTGTTTACATAATAGCCAATAATCATGATTTATAAATGAAAGTTTTCTTTTTCTTTTCTTTTCTTTTATAAAAGACAACTCCCGCATTAGGAACACGGACACAAAAAACACCCAGACTCAGAACAATTTGTGGATCACATCCCATGAGGGATTTGAACCCACAACACTCGGCGCAGTAGGAAGCGGCGTGGCCACCGCTTAAACCACTGCGCGTATATTTACCCCCTAACGTTACTATTTAACAAAATTCTTGATAAAGAAAGAGTTCCAAAGACATGGACAGAATCAGAAATAATACTGTTGTTTAAGAAATGAGGCCCAACAGACGTAGGAAATTACAGACCCATAAGTATAATGCCATGTTTGTGTAAACTCTTTATTAGCTGCCTACTAGAAAGAATTAACAGAAAAACATCAACAAGCAAGGTTTAGAAAATCGTTCAGCACCATTAACTAAATACGAGTGCTAGAACAAACAATTGAAAAATATTATGAAGCCGCCCCGGCTTCGCATGGGTGCAATGTAGATACTACTAATGCTACTAATGTGTAACCTGACCCGATCCTGCCGGCACCTGCCACCCGCGATGGACGCACGGCTCGACGGCTTTTTGGGCCACCGCATTTTAAACTATTTCATTTTAATGATATGCTGTATACAGCAATTTTAATCTACATTAAATGCACAACGTATCTAACATATTTAATTGGTCTTTTTTGTAGATCTTTTTAAGATATACAATTCCGTAGCATATTATTTTGGCCTATCTTGTAAAGTTTAGCTAGCGTTTGCAATGTAAACGTATGTTTTTACGACAAATCTTTGAAATTCTCGGATTTTCTCTATTATAATATACATGCATATTGTTATTATTATATAAACCTTCCTCTTGAATCTCTATTGGTGAAAACTGCATCAAAATCCGTTGCTTTCATCGACTATTAGCAGACATTTGATTCTATATATCACCAAAGCATCTACGATGAAAGCCCTCTATGAACAAAATACAAGGAACAAATATATCAGAATCATTAAAAACATCTACGAAAACAGTACTAGCAAAATCAAACTAGAAAGTTCAGGACAAAAAATAGTAATAAACAGAGGAGTTAGAAAGGGCGATCCCCTGTCACTTAAATTATTCATATCCGTCATATAAATCTTGAGAAAAAATGGATTAAATTTGCAATGAGTGAATTCAATATCTATGCTTTGCTGAGCTCTAATCTATGACATCAGAACTTGATAAAGCAGGCACCAAGAGTCGGCCTGGAAATGAACATCTCAAAAACGAAAGTCATGTCTAACCACAGAATTCCAATTTAAATAAATAGTTACATCATAGATTACGTTGATGAATACTACTTAGGCAAACAGGTATCCTTTCGTAAAAGTAACAACATAGAAGAAATAGACAGGCGTATATCAATCACATGTAAAAAGTTCTGTGGCCATAAAGAAGTTATGAGCTCCAACATGGACTTAAAATTCAAAAAGAAAGTCATGCCTCTCCCGTCTTACATATTATGGCTGTCAAACGTGGATATTTGATTTAACAACCAACAGAAAGCTAACAACATGTCAAAGAGCCTTAGAACACAGCTCACTAAAAATAAAATTGAAATGACAGAGTCCGTCACAGGGCAATAAGAAAGCAGATTGGCATGATAGACGACTTGTACTTCGCACAAGGCATGAAATGGAGGTGGGCAGGTCACGTGGCATGCTACACTGACAACAGGTGAACTAAGACTCCAAGAAAGAGTATCAATCTCAGGAGGCGGCCTTCAGCCCGAAGAGGGGTCCAGATGGCATGTATATTGGACTAAAATTATCCACACCCATTACTCTTCATATGAATGAACATGCCAATGGAATAATTTATTTTATTTTTTATCTTTATTTATTTATTTACATAAACATAGTATGTCTACTAGCAGCTATTTCATTAGGGAATATGATAATAAGAATCTTAATGTGTAAGTATAATTAGAAAAAATTTCTGCACCATAGCTCAACTTGTTACTTGATTTTATGTTTTTAATCATTATAATAAATTGTCGAACCCCACCATGATTAGAGTTAGTCTGAACGATTTCAACATAAACAGCATAAAAAGTTTTACCCATTAAAGTCAAGCATATATTACTTATGCTTAGTAACCTATGCATAACTTAATTTTTATAGGAATCAAAGAGTACCTACATAAAGTGTTGCAAAATAGATGACCAGGCAGTTAATGTCCCACACTTTACATAATAATAAAACTAAACAAAAGTTATACTATTTACTGAGAATATATGTGGTTTTACTCAAGTATGTATTTTAGGGATGTCTGACTAACTTCAGACTTAATGGAGAACCTTTATAAAGGGGTGAACTAACTTTTCGTATTGTCTCTCACACGGAATATTTACAATTATTCCATCTTAAACTAGGTGTTATGAGTTTAGTTAGGTGAATCTGTGTGTCTTTGACATAAATGTTTGTCCTCAATATGTCCTCACATTAAAAGAAAATTCTAAATGTATGTATGTACTAACCTGCTCCAGTAATTGTATAAAATCCATATTCATAATCCACTTGAATAGTATTTGGGTCACTATTGTTAGCATTTCCCAATACTACAGTTGTATAATAACATACACCAACAATTGCGATTACCCAAAAGACACATAATATACTAGGAATTGCATTCCTACGAAGCATCTTGATGGCTCTGCTATTCAGGCTGGTAAGGTTGATTAGTGTACCAATACAAGAACATAGTAGTACCATGAAACATAATAGTATAAGAACTCTCATTAACGATATTGTCTCTGGAGTAGTACATGGTGGATAACCTGCAAAAAAACAAATAGAGTATGAACAATAGTGTGACCCTATTCATCCTGTAAGTGTTGTTACAGCTGACTAAGGGAGCAAACTCTGCAGGACAACAACACTGCAAATAGTAGGAAAACTTGAAACAAACCCCATACCAACCCGACCACGACCCATGGCCAGCATGGTATACTAGGCCAAATCCTCCTTTCTAAGGCATATATCCAGAAGTGGACTATTAAAGGCTGTTGATGAGAGTCACATGTAAGTGGTTACTTTCTGCTACAGACATAACTGTCGAGACACTTAGGTAGGCACCCTGGACAACCCTTGATCGATCATTCGAAACGTAATTTGAGGAAATATTCCCACTTTATTATAAGTATAATTATATCATAACTACCTTCAATATATTATATGTCATCATAAGGAAAGTGAACTATGTTAATTACTAGTATAATATTTGTTTCCACTAAATATTTCATTAGCTATATACCTTTAGACATCAATATAGAATAGAGTATACTTTATTATACACACATTTTTTGTTTTACACAAGCACATCAAATGAATGAACATCTAACAAATGACAGCCTTATCACTGAAATGCATTACTTACAGGCTTGGATAAAGAAATCTACTGTTAACAGACTTAAATAAATTGTGTACCCACTACTTTCATGTCAATCTAATAAAGTCCAGTTTTCTTATGGTCATTATAATATGCAGAAAATATTCACCACTTACAGTTATACAGGGTGTCCCAGAAAGAATGGATAATCTTGGAGCACTTAATAGTACAGCTATCTGGCGTACAAAAAAAAATACCCAAAAAAAAACCAATTGGTGCCCAAATTATATAAAAAAAAAACTTTTTTGTTGTCCTTACTGTACTTACATGTACACCACGGCCGCAAATTAATGAAATTTGTTGCGTTTTTGGCGTTATCTTATTCCTCACAGACAATCTTATTAGAAATGCAGTAAATAGTATGAGTACCAATTGTATTTACTAGCAGTACTATAATAATTGTTTTTTAAAGGTTTATTTATTATATATAATAAGCCTTTAAAATTATAAATAGTACATACTAGGATTGGAGTAATTAAACCTTTTTTGCCATTCCATTTATTAAAAAATAATTTGATACAATATATATACAATAATTTGATGCAACCACATAAAACATCTTTTGCCAGAAATAATAAGTCCTCTAATTTACAAAAAAGTTAAAAGCAAATTTAAATAGCAACAGTAAATAAATATGACACTCCGAAAAATATTTATATATATGCCCTAACCAAAACATTACTTATCTACACAATTTACTACAATTAAATCTATGTTATTGGCAAAAAATCTAGGTTCACATGCGCTTCAAAAACTCAAAAAGTTCTGCTTGAGTTCAAATGTTGACACAATATATAACATGCTTCAGAGATGGTCTTTATCTATCTATTGCAACCACAATGTGCCACAGCGAAGTATGGCAGGGTACAGCTATCTATAATTATATTGCACATGTAACAAAAGTATAAAATGCAAAAAAAAATTTGTTAGGTACTATTTTGACATTTTCAGCAGTAGTTGAAATCTTAACAGATCCAATTAATGAATTATAATAATTATACTTACCAGCAAAGTCAGGCAGTCTATTGAGTTGGTCAAATTCATCTTTAGTTAGAGTTATTTCATCGTCATCATCATCATCAAAAGAGAAAAATTGTGATAATGAGAGATGTTGTGAACAATGCAAGCCTTTTATCCTAAACCAGCTAGGTTGAACAAGTGCAGCACACGTCAATAAAAAAGTGGAGATATTAAAAAATGCTGCTATTTTGTTTAACTCTTTGTCCTTAAATGGAAATGACAGCTTGAACCCTGAAAAATAAATCATACATCAATAATTACATTGATTATTATAGAATATAATTGTATTATATAAATCACTCTTACTGTAATTGTTAAGAGGTGCAAATATGAGATTTTGCATTGCAGTGTAAAACATTTTAGCAACTACTAAAATTTAACATTAAAAAACTTAAATGTATAAAGTGAAAAAGAAATTAATTGTCGGGTTAGCTGACAGGGAGGTATAAAAGCTGTATTTCAACATCTATGGTCAGGTGTTGATAGAAATAGAATTTCATATTTAACACATTCATTGTAACATTACATTAGTTTAGTAGCAGACAAAATCGTGAATATATGATGAACATTATAAGCAGATAATACTAAAACATTTTTATGTTCTATCTGGAATCTATAAATAGTTGTTAACCTCAGGGGGGATGTCTTTGAGGGAGGCCGACTAGTCCATACTTAGCAAGATTATGTTATTTACTAGCCAAATACGTACTATATATATGTAAGTCATACCGTGTCGTAATACAAATACATACACAGCCTCAATAACATTAAGTGAAGGATAAGGTCATACGCAAGTAGCATTACAGCTACACTAAAGTACACAGTGATCTAATGAGCATAGTATAGCTATAAAGTGATTAAACAGTTCCATAGTCTATTAACACAGTAATGTAGAAAATAATGAACCTTATTCAACAAATAAAAACGTCATACCTCGGATCCACGTTAAACACCCCATTTTGTTGCACTTATCATTTGAACAAGACACTTTTGTGAACTCTAGCCACACTTATATATTAATTTAGATGACAAATAGTAAATACAAATAATTGTAACATAAAGTAACACTTGTAACAACCTACAGGTTTCCTCTCTGTTAAATATTTTGTGAGTTTGACAGCTAATGTAAAGAAAGACTTTTTTTTTTAAATTCAGATTACGCAAACACAGTGTTGTCACATGAGAATCACCGTAATTGGATTTTAAAGAATAAAGAAGGAATAGAAATGAAAGTGACGAAAACACACATTACATTTCCATTTAAGAAATAGCCTATGCTAAATTATACCCAAGCATTCTTGTCTTCTATGTAATCCACAATTGTGTAGTAAGTTTTCTAACATAATTTACATTTTATTGCGGCTTGTAATTAAGTCTTGTTATTTTTTGGGCATTATTAAGTCATTTCGAGGTCAATGTGTCCGAGTTTATACTCGGACACATTGACCTCGAAATGACTTAATAGATACCATCTAGTCTCTTTGAAGTCGATACAATAGTACGTAGTTTATAACGATGCTAACTCTGTTGTTGACACATATAAACCAATATTTCTCTAAAATTTTCTTATTTTAGTGAGGCGATTTCCAAAATGCTATCCTTTTCTTAAGTCGAACTAAAGATGTTCATCAAGACAGCATTAAATTTGATGACAGCACTTAAAGTTAAAAAAGGAAAGTGTTACCGTTGTTTAAAATTAAGAATGAATGATAAAGAGAAAATTAACAAAATCTTTTGAAATAATATTATTAGGATTTGAAATATCCTGTAAATGATTATTAATGCATATTATAGTTTAAATAGTAAATAAAATTTTGTATTTTTCAGTTACAGCTAAGTAAATTCAGTTTTACTCAGTTCATATGCCTAGTAACCCACTTTAACCTCCTTTTCGTTATCTATGTAAATAAACCGAATGGCTCTGAATCTATGCAAGTACATTTGATACGATAAAATAGGTATTTTTAGTAACAAAATATTTAACAAACAATAACATCAATCCATTTGAAAATAAAAACGTAAGCTAGAACATAAAATAATTAATTAACCAGCAAAAGGCGATGCTTTAGGAGGACTCTAGTAGGTAATAATTTTCCAGACGGTTTTTAAAGCGAATTATCTTTTAATATGTGAATTATTATTATGTATATTTTTAATATGTAAAAAAACAAACATCTATGTAGGTATATATCTAACAGATGGCGAAAGTAGTAATAGTCCAGTTGGAAAAAAATTAGCTTCTCCTCTGCCATCTCAAATTGATTTGAGTTGTCTTGAATATGTTGTTTTTCCTTTCTTTTTTTTTCTTTGATATTAATTAGATTGCGGGGCGAAGAGGGGGATTACGCATGCGCAGTAACGCCGATACAACCAATGCCACCTAGAGGCGAGTTGCTGAACTAAAGAGACAAGCGTGATATTTCAAAAAAGTCATTAAAAGTTCTGCTATTCATCGATAGATGGCAAAACTAAAAAGTATCACGTGGGGTGTGTTAGGTTATTTTCGTTACGGAATATCTGGATTCGGTCTCCACGCACAAGGGCCGCGATAGAAGCTATGCAATAGCTTAAAAAGAAACCATTTAAGTCTGCGTAACGAGACACTTAAACACTATACTATACTAGCAATAAATAGTAGTTTTTTGTATTTTTAAAATTTGATTTTAACAATAATACTTAAAAAGTAAAATCAAACGTTTGTTTGGTTTACTCATTATAAAATATTCTTTTCATTTTTGTGTAGTAGTTTAAGATTAATTAATTTTAGTCAACGACAACTCTATATGGACATATTGTAACGTTGTTATATTTTTTACACATCATAATATATTGTCATCATATATACTTGTTTTTTTATCTCTTTATTGTAATTGTTTTTCATGATTATATAGCTCCTACAACATGTATTAATGATAGTTATTTTATTTGTGCTACAACTACTACTTACTATACCTAAAAGCGAAGTTGCCAGAACGAGTGAACGGATCTAGTATTTGTGAATTCTACGTGATATAAACTGTAAGCTAGTGTTTAGTAGTTTTGTTATGAGCATGACCTAGGGGGCAAATTAGCCCTGGTTCCCCGGCTATTAGTACCCGAGATGGCGTGCGGTTTTAGTCGGTTCGAGTCCGACATGCCACCGGCAGGTGGTATCCGAGGGGATTTCCGCACAAAAAAAAAGGGGGCAAACTAGCAGACGAGTCACCTGGTGTTAAGTGACTAACGCTGTTTATGGACTCCTGTAACTCAAGTGTGCTACTGCCCTGAGTGCCTCTGTAGTCCATAGAGGAAGGACCCTCCTTCCTCTATGTTATTATATTAGTCTTCATATTACTTATATTATATATTAGTCTTCAGTTACCTCACTCACTCAGTGAAAATAATTGCTTAACACTGGTTTTCAGCTAGGCCAAGGTACCCCAGTCGAGACGGCTCATATGTGTACAAGCACGACTCTCCCGTGATATTTTTAACGGACTTCAAAAACGAGGAAGTTATCAATTTGGATGTAGATTTGATGATAAGTTTCAGAGGCAGACAACGGAACTCTTAAAAATATGACAGAAAATCAACCGCGATTGCTGCTAGGTTTTTAGTCCTCTTAGTTAGTATTGTTTGAAGTCGGTACAACTTATTTCAGAAGGGATTTTCTTGTTAGTAGTTTTTTTTTCAGATTTAAACTGTATGAAGCGAGAAGCAAAGCAAAACCTTTCTAAATAAATAATTAAATTCGGTTCACAAATAACGGAGTTCTGAGAAAACAAACATAAAAAGAAATACAATTGGATTGACAATCTCCTATTTATTTCAAGTCGGTTAGAAATTATAGCTCTTGATTTGGAATCTAGAATTGCCCCGTTGTGCATGGTATTTCAAATGTGATTGTCCATCTAATGAAGGCTATCAATCATAGCGTGCTTTATAGTTGTACCACTTGTGGGAGACATTCGCTTGATAAATGAGTTCTAATCATGTTGCTTCATTATTATATTACTGATTTATTTTCTTAAAACGCTAAATCTTATCGGATTTTATCGTAGTTTTAGTTCAATAAGATATTGCTTTTGTATATTTATTTAAATTTGATACGTGCTTTATTTTCTGTTAGGCTGTTGCCACCAAAGACGTATAAAATTTGAATTACTTCATTTGCATAGCCCCTAGTAGCACTTTTTTAGTAGAGAAGAGCTAGCGAAACCAGCCTGACTGAGTTTCTTGATCTTTTTTTTTCAGTCTGTTGCCAGGTCAGGCCTCAGTAGACAGTACGAAACATTTTTTTGTAGAATCAAAATAGTTATATGATGTTAATGATAATAAAAGATATTTTAATTTAAAATTTTACTAAGTATTTGTACATACAGAAGCCGCGTGATATGTATGCGATCGGTATACTTCTTCGAAGTCAATGAGAATGGTCTATAACCACCAGTGGATTTCCTACGGCTGAAATGATGATGAAGAGCCCCGCAGAGTTGTTATGAATATATTTGAAAGTCTTGTAGCGAGTATATGACAGTAATAAGTTAGTCACGTTATTAAGTAATTTTACTAACTATATCTGCAATAAGTATAGTTATTACATTTATAATTCGCATTTTCGTTATTTACGATCTTCATTTACTGCTTATAATTGCAATACGTTTGAGTTATTGCAAATATGTTAAGGATTCTTATTACTGATTATTTAAAGATTACTAAAATTGAGGTATTAAGTACCTAGATATATTGCACTTATTTGTAGGAAGAATAAGCAAAGACAATATACTTACGCGGAATAAAATGCAATAAATTCACCATTTATTGCGTTTATAGCTAGCACAAGGGGGTACCAGAAGACTGAAATAATAGGGGTTAAAGTATGAAATTACCGTTATACAGTAATAGCTACTTTGAATTGACATGAAACCTTCATGGTGTGAGATTTTCGTGTGAAACTTTTTCACCTGATGCCTCTGTTCTTGTTTAAAAAATGGTCAAAATTCGATTTTCGAATTCAATTGTTTTTTTAATCAGCTTAGACGTGAAAGATGGATACTTCGGAAATTCGAGTCATTTTTGAATACGAGTTCCGACGCGGAACTAACGCGGCAGAAACGGCTCGCAATATCAACGCTGCGTTTGGAGAGGAGACTGCTAATGAACGCACCGTGCGCTTTTGGTTTAAACGCTTTCGTAATGGAAATTTCGACTTACAAAACGAAGCACGTGGAAGACCGCCCACACAGGTGAATAACGCTGAATTGAAGGAGAGATGGTGGAAGCCGATCCGAGTCAAACTACCCAGGAATTAGCGGCATGGTTTAACATAGATAAATAATTAGATTAAATAAATAGGTTATATCTTAGAAAAAATGAGTTTCTATTTTTCAGTACAAATCGGCAATTTCAAACTTCAACCCCTAATATTATCAGTGTACCTTTATTTGATGCTCTCTTTACAGACAACACTGTCCAGAAGAGACAGAATTCTTTCTTTGACTATTTCGCAAAATAAAAACTGAAAATCACACGTTTCTCCATCTGGACCTACCAGCCACCAGCTAATTTCAAGTCCATCAATAATTCGTCAATAAATCGTCTGCTGTTCAAAAACTTCTAACATCAACCGACCTAAATAACTTTGTCGTTTCAAACTTGCCTCTTACTAATGAAAATCGCAATAAATAAGACACTTAATCCACTTATGGTTAGGAAACAGTTTATAAAAAATATTATTTGCTACTCAAAATGCATCATGTTGGTTTTCCTAAACATTAGTGGTAACAAGTAGGTTACTTATTACTTTTATTGCTTTTTTAATGCAGGAATAAATGTATTAGCAAACATTAACTACCATATAATATTCTCTACATTTTTACCTACCATGTGGTGAAAGTTACAAGTCGATCCATGTTATAGTGGTGGAGATACAAACAAAACAAAAAATAAAACTTTAACTGCGTTACGAAATCAGCTTTA